TGGTTTGGAGCTGAGCCCCAGACCCCATGTGCTCACAGCCCAGGAGAATGGACAGGGGTGTCGGGGACCAGGCAGCTGAGCGGAGCCCCAGCCCCATACCTCCCAATGTGTGAAGACTGCAGGGTCAGGCACCACCAGCCAAGCCCACCAAGCCCCCCAGCTGGGCTCTGCCTGCTCCAGGTCTGTGGTTTCTCTCAGAATCCCGGGCTCTTCCAAGGAATTCCATGTTCCCCATGCCTCTCCCACAGCACCGTCCCTGGAGCGACACATGGGGTGTGACAGGCCAGGAAAGTCTGCCTGTGGGCCGAGGCTCCCGCTGGGTCCTACATTGTGCACCTTTCAGCACCCCCCGCCCCAGCCTTCCATGAAGCAGCCCTTTTGGGGTCTCCCCAGGCCACGGGGCGAGGCAGAGCCACCTGCACATGCCTCTTGCATAGGGACAACTGGCCCAGGGGACAGGGGCCTGACATGTCCCTCTTACCCCACACTGATGAGCTGGACTGACAGGTTCCCTTGGGTAGGGGGGTTCTGAGGACACACAGGCCTGAGGGACACGTCCATGGTGGAAAAGCACACACAAAGCATCGACGATGGCCCGCAATCAGAGTCGATGCCATGGGCACCTCCAGATCATCCTTCTGCTTCACACCCTCAGTGGCCACGCATGGCCAGGAGGCGGCATGGTGCCACAAGCTCCAGCGGCTGGAGGGGTCTCGTAGACAATCTCACAGTCACCTCCAGCCTCCACCCCGGCCCCTCCAGCCCCTGTGGCCAGACCACTGGCAACAGCCCTAACAGGGACCCCAGCTCCAGGACATGACATGGTCACCGTCAGCATTGCCAGGGCCCAGGGAGAGCCAGGTCTTCCTGTCCCGGGATCTTTACATGTGTCCGGAGCCCCCTCCTGCGGGAGGCCCTGTCCATATGTGGGCGCACGGCCTACCAGGCCTCCTCTCTCAGCACAAATACTCACAGCCCTTCCCTCTCAAGGAGCAGTGGCAGGCAGCTTGGTGCCGCCCCCTCTTCAAGGCAGCCCAGTGACCCCATGTTTGCTGACAGCGTCCAGGGAGTGAGCAGTGGAGGGGACACAGCGCAGGCAGGAGAGCACCTGCATGGGGGCCTCAGTGGCCGTGGCTCCATCAGCTTCCCAAGAACAGAGGTGGGAACTGCCAGGGCTGCGGGCTGGGGGTTCCCATTCTATTTTTAGCTGAGAGCGATGAGGCAGAGCTCCCCTCCCCCTATTGTATGGATGTAAAAATACCAACAATGGTTTCTACAGGTTCAGCTCTCTGCTGGGAGCCATTCCGGGGAGCCACAGGCCTTGGGGATGGCCCACACTGTTGCCACACCGGTCGCCTCGCCAACCAGGCACCTGACCAAGGCCCCACACCAGGTACTTTCGCTCTGGGCTGGTCTGGGCCACAGGGAGGGGCAGGACCCCCAGGCCACAGCCCAGAGAGGACCCCAGATGGCCATGCAGCCAGGCCCAGGCCTCCTGGTCACTACTTACTGCTCAGCTGCCCCTCCTTGAATGGGGGCACAAGGAAGCAAGACAGAGACCAGAGCAAACCTGGAGGAGACAGGCAGCTGAGAGCCTCTGGGGACAGGCTGAGCGCGACCCCAGGCAGAGGGCGTTGACAGTGGACAGTGGGAAGATCAACCAGGAGGGCTGCCTCATCCCAGGGCCCAGAAAACAGCAGGCAGCCTGAAGCACAGCCTCTGGCCTAGGCAGGGCAGAATAAGGGGTCTGTACTGGGCTAGGCTGGGCCAAGGTGGTGGAAGTAGACAGTTGTTTAAACAGAGATGGGTATCCTCAGCTCAGATGGGCCAGGTTGGTCAATCTCGGCTGTGCTCAGCCATGCTGGGCTGAACTGGGTTAAACTGAGCTGAACTGGGCTGAGCTGAGCTGGGCTGGGCTGGGCTGGGCTGATCTGGGTTGAACTGAGCTGGGCTGGGCTGGGCTGGGCTGGGCTGGGCTGAAATGAGCTGGAATGGGATCAGCTGGGTTGAGATGAACTGAGCTGGGCTGAACTGGGCTGGGCTGGGCTGGGCTGGGCTGAGCTGAGATGGGCTGGAATGGGCTGGTGTGGGCTGATCTGGACTGAGCTGAGCTGAGCTGAGCTGGGCTGATCTGGGCTGGGCTGGGTTGGGCTGGGCTGGACTGAGCTGGAATGGGATGGGCTGGGCTGAGCTGAACTGAGCTGGTGTGGGGTGATCTGAACTGAGCTGAGCTGGCCTGGGCTGGTCTGTGTTGGGCTCATCTGGGTTGGACTGATCTGGCTTGGGCTGAACTGGGCTGATCTGAGTTAAGCTGAGCTGGGCTGAGCTGGGCTGGCCTGGGGTGGGCTGAGCTGGACTTGGCTGGGCTGGGCTGGGCTTGTCTGGGTTGGGTTGAGTTGGATTGGGCTGAGCTGAGCTGGGCTGGGCTAGGCTGGTGTGGGCTGATCTGGGTTGAGCTGAGCTGGGCTGAGCTGGGCTGAGCTGGGCTGAGCTGGGCTGAGCTGGGCTGGGCTAGGCTGGGTTGGGCTGGGCTGGGCTGGGCTGATCTGGGTTGGGCTCATCTGTGTTGGACTGATCTGGCTTGGGCTGAACTGGGCTGATCTGGGTTGAGCTGAGCTGGGCTGAGCTGAGTTGCGCTGAGCTGAGCTGAGCTGTACTTGGCTGGGCTGGGCTTGTCTGGGTTGGGTTGAGTTGGGTTGTGTTCAGCTGAGCTGGGTTGGGCTGAACTGGGTTGGGCTGAACTGGGCTGAGCTGGGCTAGGCTGATCTGAGTTTGGCTGATCTGGGCTGAGCTGAGCTGGGTTGAACTGAGCTAGGCTGGGCTGGGCTGGACTGGGCTGGGCTGGGCTGGGCTGGGCTGAACTGGGTTGGGTTGTGTTGGGCTTAACTGAGTTGAGCTGGGCTGGGTTGAGTTGAGTTGGGTTGAGTTGAGTTGGTTTGGGTTGGGTTGGGTTGGGTTGGGTTGGGTTGGGCTGGGCTGGGATGAGCTAGGCTGAGCTGGGCTGGGCTGGGCTGGGCTGGGCTGAGCTGAGTTGAACTGAGCTGAGCTGGGCTGGGCTGGGTTGGGTTGGGTTAAGCTGGGCTGAGCTGGGCTGGGCTGGGCTGGGTTGAGTTGGCTGGGTTGGGCCTGGCTGGGTTGGGCTGAGCTGAGCTGAGCTGGGCTGGGCTGAGCTGGGTTGAGCTGAGCTGAGCTGAGCTGGGCTGGGCTGAGCTGGGTTGAGCTGGGCTGGGCTGAGCTGGGCTGGGCTGGGCTGGGTTGGGTTAGGTTGGATTGGGTTTGGCTGTGTTGGGTTGGCCTGAGCTGGGCTGGGCTGATCTGAGCTGGGTTGGTTTGGGCTGAACTGGGCTGATCTGGGTTGAGCTGAGCTGGGCTGAGCTGGGCTGAGCTGGGCTGAGCTGAGTTGCGCTGAGCTGAGCTGAGCTGTACTTGGCTGGGCTGGGCTGGGCTTGTCTGGGTTGGGCTGGGCTGGGCTGAGCTGGGCTAGGTTGATCTGAGTTTGGCTGATCTGGGCTGAGCTGAGCTGGATTAAACTGAGCTAGGCTGGGCTGGGCTGGACTGGGCTGGACTGGGCTTGGCTGGGCTGGGCTTGGCTGAGCTGGGCTGAGCTGGGCTGGGCTGGGCTGGGCTGAACTGGGTTGGGTTGTGTTGGGCTTAACTGGGTTGAGCTGGGCTGGGTTGAGCTGGGCTGGGTTGAGTTGAGTTGGGTTGAGTTGAGTTGGGTTGAGTTGAGTTGGTTTGGGTTGGGTTGGGTTGGGCTGGGCTGGGATGAGCTAGGCTGAGCTGGGCTGGGCTGGGCTGGGCTGAGCTGAGTTGAACTGAGCTGAGCTGGGCTGGGCTGGGTTGGGTTGGGTTAAGCTGGGCTGAGCTGGGCTGGGCTGGGCTGGGCAGAGCTGGGCTGGTCTGGGCTGGGATGAACTGGGATGAACTGGGTTGGGTTGGGTTGGGTTGCGATGAACTGGGTTGGGTTGGGTTGGGTTGGGATGAACTGGGTTTGGTTGGGTTGGGTTGGGATGAATTGGGTTGGGTTGGGCTGGGCTGGGTTGGGTTGGGTTGAGTTGAGTTGGGTTGGGTTGGGTTGGGTTGGATTGAGTTGAGTTGAGTTGAGTTGAGTTGGGTTGGATTGGGTTGGGTTGGGTTGGGTTGAGTTGGATTGGATTGGATTGGATTGGATTGGATTGGATTGGATTGGGTTGAGTTAAGTTGGGCTGGGCTGGGCTGGGCTGGCCAGGGTGGGTGGCATGGGCTGGGTTGAGCTGGAATGGGCTGGGCTGGGCTGGGCTGGGCTGAGCTGAAATGGGCTGGGCTAAGTTGAACTGAGCTGGGCTGGGCTGGGTTAAGTTGGATTGGGTTGGGCTGTGTTTGGCTGGGCTGGGCTGGGCTGGGCTCTGAGATTCCCAGTCCATAGTGGGGCAGGCAGAGTCATCTGCTGGAGGTGGGCTCCTTCAGACGGCCAGCAGAGAAGCCTGGCTGATCAGTGAGGGTAGGGTGAAGGAGCACCCTCAGCTGCAGAGACCCCAGGCCAGTCAGGAGGAGGTGGGGGTGGGACGGACCACATTCGTGATACCTTGGGGTTGGGGCCTCTGTACCCCAGGCCTTCATGGGAGGCTGAGGGTGGGGGCAGAGGAGACATCTTGCTGATCCTGGGGGTCTCGGGGTCTCTGCTCCACAGTGGAGTGGGGGGAGAGGGAGATCCCGCAATGGTTTTGAGCCTCTGCTGCCTGAGGAGCAGAGAGCTTCCCCGGGGTGGGTGGCATGTACTGCCACTCAGGACTGAGGGGCCCAACCAGGTGGTGTGTGCTGCCACTCGGGACCAAGGGGTCCAACCAGGGTTGGGACAACAGCTTTGGGAGACACAGGCTTCGTCACAGGCATCTGGGAGGGACTGGAATGAGCTCCAAACGAGCCAGTGGCTCCATGCCCCGGGCTGGAATGGGGGCCCTGGAGTGGTTGCCCAGTCCAAGGCTGCCAGCACTGACAGGCCGGTTCCATCCACAGACCGCATGCAGAGCCCATCGGTCTTCCCCTTGACCCCCTGTTCCAAAGACCTCGCTGTGGGCGCCGCCTCCGTGATGCTGGGCTGCCTGGTCAGGGACTACTTCCCGGAGCCGGTGACTGTGACCTGGGACACGGGGTCCCTGACAACAAGCATCATGACCCTCCCCGCCACCTTCAACCAGAACTCCAGCCTCTACACCACCAGCAGCCATGTGATCGTCTCTGACGAGTGGGCTGAACAGCGGTTCACCTGCTGGGTGGGGCACCCTGGGTCCACACCCATCAACGTCAACATGACCATATCACCAGCACCAGGTAGACCCAGGCCCGCGGGTGGCGAGGAGCAGGTTGGGAGGAGGGCTGCGGAGGGGCTGTCTGGAGTGCCCAGGGCTCTGGCTGGGAGGAGGCTCAGAGACTCAGAGACGCCTCCGCAGGGCCATCGTCTCTGTCCTTAGCGTGCACCATGAACGTCACCCTGCCCATGGTGGGGATCTTCCACTCATCCTGCGACCCCAGCGGCAACCCCCATGCCGCCATGCGGCTGCTGTGCCTCATCCCCGGCTTCACCCCGGGTGACCTCAAGGTCACCTGGCTGGTGGATGGGCAGCCCAAGGACCTGCTCCCGGTCACTGGCCCTGCCAGCTGGGAGGGCGCGCCGGCCTCTACTGTCAGCGAGCTCTACATCAGCCAGGGCGAGTGGCTGTCCCGGAGAACCTACGCCTGCCAGGCCAGCCTGCACGGCTGCACGGTGAAGGCCGAAGCCCGCGCCTGCCCAGGTACAGCCCTCCTCAGGCCCGCGCCCGCACCTGCCTCTCGGGGCGGCGGGGTCGGGCGTGGCCTCACACAGCCCCTCCTCAACCACCAGAGCCCGAGCCCCGAGGTGTGAGCGTCTACGTGATTCCGCCCAGCCCCCTGGACCTGTATGTGCACAAGTCACCCAAGGTCTCCTGCCTGGTGGTGGACTTGGCCAGCCTGGAGGGCATGAGCCTGCAGTGGTCCCGGGAGGGCAGGGGCCTCCTGGCCCAGGCCACCCAGAGCAGCAAGCGCCACTTCAACATGACCTACTCCGTCACCTCCACCCTGCCCGTGGACACCAGTGACTGGGTGGAGGGCGAGACCTACCAGTGCAGGCTGAGCCACCCAGACCTGCCCCGGCCCATCCTGCGCACCATCGCCAAGGCCCCGGGTGAGCGACCTGCGAAGGGGAGGCGGGCAGTCCCCCCCCCCCCCCCGGAGCTGGAGCCAGAGCCAGCTGACCCCACGCCCGTCCACAGGCAAGCGTGCTGCCCCCGAGGTCTTCGTGTTCCCGCCGCCCAAGGAGCAGGGGGCCCAGGACAAGCTCACCCTCACTTGCCTGATCCAGGGCTTCTTCCCTGCCGACATCTCGGTGCAGTGGCTGCAGGACGAGGCCCTGATCGCCAGTGATCAGCACGCCACCACGCAGCCCCTCAGGGACCTAGGTGCCAGCCCCGCCTTCTTCGTCTTCAGCCGCCTGGAGGTCAGCCAGGCCAACTGGGAAAGGAGGAGCAAATTCACCTGCCGAGTGACCCACGAGGCTCTGGACGGCAACCGGACCCGCGAGCATTCAGTGTTTAAAGGCAAAGACCCTGGTAACTAAGGCCTGCCTCCCGCCCGCCCCCTCCAGGGCGCCCTGCTGTCAATAAACTCAGTGCCAGCTCAGAGCCAGTGCGCTCGTTCTTGGGGGGTGGGCGGAGGGACAGGGGTGTCTGGCACAGAGGAAAGGACTCCCAGAGGGGATAGGAGGATTGGACAGGGCTGAGCTAAGCTCGGTCCACCATCCTCTTGCCAACCCCCATGCCTCCTGCCCACTCCAAGGGGCCTGGGAACCAGAGGGTGGCCCTGGGATGGCCATGGAGACCCAGTTCAGCCCACAGTCCCTGCCTCTCCAGAGGCCTAGTCTTCACCCCGGCTCCTGCAGCTCCTCTGCACACAGACAAGCTTCCCCAGGCCCAGAGGCACACACAGGCCCTCTGGGTGGAGGGATGGGCTGAGTGCAACGCCCACTCAGGCTTCCATACGTAGGGAGACAGGCTGCCCCCAGCCCCCCATCAGCCCCACAACCATCCCAAGCACCACGGCAGAGACAGGCCCAGCCCCGTGTGGCCCAGTGCTGAGCCCACGGCATCCTAACCCTCACCTCACTCCATCCTGACCTGCCCAGACTGTCCCAGGGACAGGAACAGCCCTCACAAACACATCCCATGGGCCTCACACACAGTAACACCAGCCATGCCAGCCCTGCCCCCACACAGCCTGCAGTGACCCAACAATGCCACCCACCACCAGCCCCGGTACCCTGTGTGAGCAAACGCTTCTCACATGTGCTCCTGGCGGCCTCCCTTGACCTACCCCTCACCAGGCCACCCTGAACCTTTGTTCCCCATCACACCTGGGCCCCAACATGGGCATGGAGAGGACCCCCTGGCTGGGAGCCCAACAGGCCTCCCACAAACCCTCCTTGCCAGCTGCATCCACAGATAGACAGACACATACATGGACACAAGCACACACTGATGCACAGGACAGAGACACAGAGACACACACATGCACACATGCATACACACACAAACACACACACAGACACACACAGATACCTACACACAGAGAAACCCATAGACGCAATGCACAGACACACACTGACATGCTAACACAGAGAGACACACGTGGACACACACATGGATGCATACACTGATACATATGGACACACTGACACACAGGGGCACATACACACCCAGGAAGTGGGCTCCGTCCAACAGCCCAGAGCAGCCTGCTGGCCCCGACTCAGGGCCTGGAGGCTGCAGGGATCAGAGTCAGGGACCAAGCCCACCCCTACCCCAAGTTCAAGTACACATCTAACAGCCCAGGCGTCCTGTGTACGCACACGCTCGCACATGCATATGCACACATGCGTGCATACCCCGGCTAGCAGCACCCCTGAGCATGGATAGCAGCGAACACCCAAGGGCGTAGTTCAGAGGGACCTGCTGGCAGGCTGCCCCAAGATTGGCACCTGCGCTTGGCATGCCTCACTCCCCAAGGCAGGAGGCCGAGGGACAGCGGTGGCCCATGGGCCGGGGGCAACTCGGCCAGTGTGGCCAGGCCAGCCCCATGGAGCGACGGCCTAGGCTGCAGGCTCAGACCCCCAGCAGGTTCAGGGCGGTTGGCTGAGTGCAGTTTAGAGGGTCTCCGGCCTCAAGCGAGAAGCTGAGTGAGCACGGGGCTCGTGGGAGCCATCCTCCCTGGTGGGGGCAGAGCAGGAGCTGAGGTGAGGGCGATAGGCCTGGCGAGGAAGACCAGGGGTCGGACGCAGCCTGAGGATGGAGGGAGAGAAAAGGCATCACTGGAATGGGACAGTGGGCAGCGGGCAGTGGGCAGAGGGCAGCAGGCAGTGGGCAGCGGCCCTCCCACCAGCCACCCTGGGCTGGGCCAGGCAGGGCCTCAGACCCCAGACCCCCAGGTGAGCCAGCTGCTCTGAAAGGCCACGGAAGCTGGACAGGGACTGCCTGAACCCCAGACAGCAGGGACCAGGCTGCAGGGACCTGTGCTGCCCACACCCAGAATAGGGGCTCACTGACCCCACACCCAGGCTGGGGGCCGACTGACCCCACATCCAGGCGGGGGGTTCACTGACCCCCACACCCAAGCTGGGGGCTCACTGACCCCACACCCAGGTGGGGGACTGACTGACCCCACATCCAGGCTGGGCTGACCCACCTGCACCCGCAGAGCTGGATCTGCAGGACGTGTGCGTGGGGGCAGCCGAGGCGGAGGAGCTTGATGAGCTGTGGCACAGCCTCTTCGTCTTCATTGCGCTCTTCCTGCTCAGTGTGACCTATGGTGCCTCCGTTACCCTCTTCAAGGTAGGCCAGCCCCCAGGGCCGAGGGGCGGGAGACCCTTGAAGTGAGCAGATGGGCAGGGCCCTCACGCATGCACGCACGCCCTCCCCTCAGGTGCAGTGGGTCTTGGGCGCTTTCCTGCAGGGGCCACCCCGGGCCGCCCATGACTATGAGAACATCGAGGACCCTGCATGGCCGGAGGCCTTGGCACGGAGCAGCTGAGCAGCCTCGCTACCCTTCTCCCCTGCCCGAGCGACCGGAGGCCACGCTGACAAGAGAAGACACACCTCCAAGGGGCGGGGGTCCTGGGCCCATCCACAGCTCAAGGGCATCCGGAAGATTCCAGCTCTGGCCCCAAGGCCCAGGCACCCAGGGCACCTGCCAATCATGGCCCCACTCCCACCCCATCTACCCTCCTAAGTAGCCTGGGCTATACACATGGGGGCAGACACTCTGGGCTCCCCTCAGGGCCCTGAGGTCGCCACTCCCATTCTTACTGGACAACTCCAGCAACACAGTAAGGCCTAGAGCCACGGCCTGGCCCTTCGCTCGAGTCCAGAGCCCAACCAACCCAGTCCAGGGTCCAAGCCCAACACTCCAAGTCCAGAGCCAAGCCTAGGACTCAGAGTCCAGCCCAGCCTGAAGTCTCCCTCCCCAACCAACCTCCCAGGTCAGGAGGCCCTGCCCCTGGGGCTTGGGCCCTCTGCTTGCCCTTCCTGTGTCCACCCCAACTGTCCCTGCAGCATGTGGAGGTACAGAAGCCCTTCTGGGGAGAGGCCCTGAGACAGCGTGGGCTGTGGGCAGGATCCCATGGGTGGAGAAGGGGCTTTCAGGGGAGAAGGGGTTCCCAGGTGGAGAATGAGTACCATGGGTGGCGAAGGGGTCCCCCAGGGGGTTAGAAGGGGCTCCCAGGAGGTTAGAAGGGCTCCCACAGGGTCCACACAGCAGCCACTCAGTCCAGGGGCTCCACCCCCACCCAACACAGCCTCGTCCCACCTCCCACTCCAAGAACACGTGGCAGTTGGGCTTGTTTCCCTTTGGGTTTCTTGGTAAAGTTCTCTTTTCTAATTCCATGTCCCTGTGTGTGCTCTGGGGGCGGTGCGTGTAGTCCTGTGGGTGTCAGACGAGGGCACAGGGAACTGCTGGGGCCACAAGGGCCCTTCAACACCCCCAGAAACACCCCGCCTGGCCCGTCTCCCCCTCGCTGGTCTGCAGCCCAGGCTTGCTGCCCCTTCCCCCGCTGACAACGAAGCCAGCACCCTGTCGCAGAGGGGCCTTCAGGAGAGAACTTGGGGGTTAACAGAGGTGGGGCATAGACCATTACTAACCCCCGCTGCAACATGGGAGTCGCTTGAACCTTCTCCCATTCTGAGAAAGGTCTCCTACCCCCATGGTTGCTTCGCTTCCCATGCACAGCTCAAATTGGGACCAGATAACAGAGACTTGGCTGACAGCAGCTGACCTCTCACTGCAACAAGACTTGTTTGAGAGGTCTTATACCCATGGTATGGGCAAGCGGGTTTTTAATATCCAAGTCCAGTCTAGTAGCAGGAATGCTCAGGCCCTTATCAAAAAGGTAAATAATCAATTCCAGTGATACACACATGGTAAATAAGATTGTTGCTAGAGTGTTGAGTTTGACAGATGAATAGTAGCCAATTTCTCAGAGGAAATTAATGTGGCTAATGGAAATAAATGAATATTCTAGAAACACTACAAAAAGCTGTTCCTAAGGTGTTAACAAAAAGTTTTATTGGCAGAGCGTCCCATGGTAAAATTGCACATCGTGCAATTTTTGAACCTAAAGCAGTCATAGCGTAGCGCTAATAATTTAAGAACCTAAAGCAGTCATAGTATAGCGCAAATAATTTAAAATGTAAAAGCTATCAAAACTACATTATAAAATTTCCAAAAGTCTTCTATTATTTAAAGTAAAAAAGGGGATGACCGTGGAAGAATATTATGTAAGGAAAAATATCCTGAGAATAATTTACATCTAAAAAATTTTTACTTTAGAAAAGTAACCTTCATTCAAAATGCTAATACACATGAAAATACACACATGGCGACAAAACAAGCCAGGGGAAAATTATTTGGGGATGGGGAATGTAAAAGAATCCCAAATCAAATTTAAAGAAAATATCCCTTTATTAACTTTTGGTCGAGAATATGTTTGTATATTTTCAAAAAACAACTCTGAGACCATCTGGAATCTGTAACAGAGAGGAATAGACAGAAGTGCTCCAGCCATAAAGACAGAAGAGACACAATTCAGAGATGGAAGATGCTGATGACGCCTAGCATACCAGCATACAGCAGCTGCATGTTGCTGAAGGATGCCCAGTACCAAACCAGAGACAGGCGGACCTGCATTACCACCATTTGTCCACCAACCAGATCTGAAATATCATGGCTGACATGTACACATAAGGAACTATTTGACATTGAAATTGGAACTCAAAAGAACTGCTGGCCCAGAAAGGAACTCACTACAGACTGATTCATTTGCCTCACAGCATAACCATTATTGCTTGTTGCAGTTTAGGTTCTTACAAGGGTATTTCTTGGATCGCATGATCTCACACATCTAGAGGAAATAATGTACAACATAAACTGATGAACAAAAACAGACCCAGAGAAAGAGAAGCAGCTATCAGACTCTCAAACCTCAGAGGGAAAGTAGGGGAGGGTGGGGGTAAGGGGAAGAGATCAACCAAAGGATTTGTGTGCATGCATATGGGCCTAGCCAGTGGCCATGGACAACAGGGGAGTGGGGGAATATGTAGGGAGGGGTTTGGGATGGGAATGGGGGAATAAGGACAATTATGTGAGACCATAATCAATAAAATAAAAAATAAAAATACATACCCCCCCCAAAAAAAAAACACACCACAAACAAATATTAAAGGGACAAATAGTATTAAGATAGTACATAATGTAAAGGGAAACACATAGTAAACAATAAACATAAAAAGAACTAAATGATATAAAAAAAAAAAGAAGAAGAAGAAGAAGAGGAAGAAAAAGCCAGCACACTGACCCCTGTGATCAGTGCAGGCCACAGGGACGCCACTCCCATCACCAGGTGGGCCCAGGGTCAGCCTCCCCCAGTCACCCCCCCATTCACCCGCCAGCTGAGCACACACACAGACCGTCCTGGGCCCCTGTCCTCCCCCAGAGAGTCTGGGTGACTTGGTGAACTATGTGGGGCTGGCCGCCATTGGCTCGAGAAGAAACCAGGTGAGCCTGAGAGACGGACCCCCCATGAGACGGCCAGAGGCCAAGGGCAGTGGGTCCTGAGGCCGTGCCTCCCCAGGTGAAGAGGCAGTGCCCTGGTTGGGGGACCTGCCCATGGGGGTCTCTGTGCAGTCGCTGGAAATGGCGGGAATGCATGAACACACATGATGAAGGGCAGGGATCTCTCACATACAAAGAGCACTTGGGAGCCAAAACAAAGAGGGCAGTGAGCCGTGGGTCCTTCACAGCAAGAAAAACCAAGTGGCCGAACAGGAAGCGCATCTTCAGTAACGAGAAAAGGGGCCACGAGGGGGGTGTGTGTGTCTGCCTGCTCTGGGCCTCACCGTCTGTGGCGTGGACAGTGCTATGGCCTCTCTGCAGGCCACGAGCCGCCTTGCCAGCGCCCAAATGCCCAGGCCCCTGGACGGGAAACTCTAGCCTCTGGTGGCCCTCAGAGAGCCTGGCTCTATGGGGGCCGCAGGCGGTCGAGGATCGAAATGCCAGCGCGCAGCCTGCCAGGCTCAGACAGGGCACCCGAGTCCGTTGGAGCGGAGAGGCCAGAACAGGCATCTCTGAGGCCTGTCCAGACATGGAGGATGCTCCACATGGGGCACCAGGGGCCTTCTGACCACGGCCCGCCCTGTTGTGCTCACACGGACTCACTGACACACACACTCACAGACACTCACTGTCACACACTCAGGACACACTCTCACACTCAGGGACACTCACACTCAGAACACACACTCACAGAAACACTGTCACACACTCAGGGACACTCACACTCATACAGACACACTGTCACACACTCAGGGATACTCACACTCACACTTACAGACACCCTGTCACACTCAGGGACACTCACACTCACAGACACATGACACACATTGTCACATTCACACTTACAGACACACAGTGTCACACTCAGGAACACTCACAGACACACACTCAGGGACACTCACACTCACAGACACACACTGTCACGCACTCAGGAACACTCACACTCACAGACACACATTCAGGTACACTCACAGTCACAGATACACACTGTCACGCATTCAGGGACACTCAGACTCACAGACACACAGGGACACTCACACTCACACTCACAGACACACACTGTCACACACTCAGGGACACTCACACTCACAGATACACACTGTCACACACAGGGACACTCACACTCACACTCACAGACACACACTGTCACGCACTCAGAGGCCCACGCCCTCGCATGGCTACAGAGGGGAGCCTGGTGCCCTCAGCTCAGTGTCCGCTCTCTGACATGCAGCCCAGGTCACGAGACACCCCACAGACCCCAGAACGAGGACCAGGCACAGCTCACACAAGCCCAGGAGGGAGGAGTGTGAGTCACTCCACCTGCAGGCCACCCCACTGGGCAACCCCACCTGGGCCCCAGCATGGCCGGGCAGGGAGAGGGCAGGACCACGCCCGGGCCTCAGGCCCTGCCACAGCCTCACAGCCCTCTCAGCAGCAAGAGGCTGTTTCCCGGGCCACCCACCCCCACAGTGGCCTGAAAGGTAACCCCAAAGCTTGCTCCACATTCCCCTGGAACCTGTGCTGGAACTGTATTTGAAAAAAGCATCCTTGTAGACTGAAGGTGAGGGTCTTCAGATGAGAGCAGCTCTCAGCTCCTAGTCCACTGGCAAGCATAGTCCCAAGAGGAGAGGAGAGGAGAGGAGAGGACAGGAGAGGAGAGGGGAGGGGAGGGGAGGGGAGGGGAGGGACTGGGAGGGGAGGGGAGGAGAAGAGAGGAGAGGCCAACACTGAGGAGAAGGTGCTGAGTCTCCTGGCCCAGGGACACTGAGCCCAGAAGTGGGGCGGGGGCCTCCAGAAGGCATGCTGCCCTGTCCACAATGGAGTGGGTGTCTGGCCTCCAGACTGAGAATGAATCTCTGTTGTTTAAAGCCATATAGCCTGTTTCCTTGGCCATGGGCGCTCCACAGCCCTCAAGGCTTGGCCAT